CGTGTCCTCACCCTGTCCCATTCACCTGGCCCCCACCAGCTCCCCAGCTGCCCTGACCGCAGGCCCCGCCCCCAGATGTACTTCAACTCGGTCATCTCGGACACCACGAAGCTGCTCAAGCCCAGCCTGGTGTTCGCCTTCGCCATCGCTGCGGGCGTCTGCGGCCTCACCCAGATCACGCAGTACCGCAGCCACCCGGTCGACGTCTATGCCGGCTTCGTCATCGGCGCTGGCATCGCCGCCTACCTGGTGAGGGTCCGCCGGGGGAGGCTGGCCGCCCAGGGGCGGGAGCGGGCTGGGCCTCAGCCCTCCAAGGCGCGGCCCTGCCCTGGGGCGCTGGCGGCCTTGTACCCGGAATGCTGCTCAGAGGCTGGTGGGCCCAGACTTGCCCAGTGTGCAGCGTGAGTGACCTGAGGTGGGGACTGGCACCGTGGGGGAGAAGGTGGCCTCGCCCCTCAGACCCCGGCGCCAAGTCTGTGCCCGGTGAGGACCCTGGTTCCGGGCTGCCAGCCTCACAGCCTGGTCTCACCCTGGCACCAAGTCTGTGCCCAGTGGGGACCCCGGTTCCGGGCTGCCAGCCTCACAGCCTGGTCTCACCCCCAGGCCTGCCATGCGGTGGGCAACTTCCAGGCCCCGCCCCCAGAGAAGCCGGCGGCAGCGGCGCCCGCCAAGGACGCACTGCGGGCGCTGACCCAGCGGGGCCACGACTCCGTGTACCAGCAGAACAAGTCCGTGAGCACGGACGAGCTGGGCCCGCCCGGCCGGCTGGAGGGCGCGCCCCGACCTGTGGGCCGCGAGAAGATCTCGCTCGGCAGCCTGAAGCGGGCCAGCGTGGACGCGGACCTGCTGGCCCCGCGCAGCCCCATGGGCAAGGAGAACATGGTGACCTTCAGCCACACGCTGCCCCGTGTCAGCACGCCGTCCCTGGACGACCCCGCCCGCCGCCACATGACCATCCACGTGCCGCTGGACGCCTCGCGCTCCAAGCAGCTCATCAGCGAGTGGAAGCAGAAGTCGCTAGAGGGCCGCGGCCTGGGGCTGCCCGACGAGGCCAGCCCAGGGCACCTGCGGGCACCGGCGGAGCCCATGGCGGAGGAGGACGAGGACGAGGAGGAGGAGGAGGAGGAGGAAGAGGGCGAAGGGGAGGAGCAGGGGGAGGGCGGGGAAGGCCCGGCCCCGCCGTCCCTCTACCCCACAGTCCAGGCCCGGCCGGGACTGGGGCCGCGGGTCATTCTGCCGCCAAGGGCTGGGCCGCCACCGCTGGTGCACATCCCGGAGGAGGGGGTGCAGGCGGCAGCTGGCCTGTCCCCCAAGAGCAGCGCGGCCGTGCGCGCCAAGTGGCTCATGATGGCAGAGAAGAGCGGAGCGGCCCTGGCCCCGGCCGCCACCCAGCCCCGCCTGGCCAACCCACCGCGGCTGCTGCAGGTGATCGCCATGTCCAAGGCGCCCGGTGGCCCTGGCCCCAAGGCGGCCGAGACGGCCTCGTCCTCCAGCGCCAGCTCCGACTCCTCGCAGTACCGGTCGCCGTCAGACCGCGACTCAGCCAGCATCATCACCATCGACGCGCACGCGCCCCACCACCCCGTGGTCCACCTGTCTGCAGGCAACGGGCCCTGGGAGTGGAAGGCGGCCAAGGGCGCGGAGAGCGAGGGTGGCTATGAGCTGGGGGACCTGGCCCGCGGCTTCCGGGGTGGGCCCAAGCCACCAGGCGTGTCCCCTGGCTCGTCCATCAGCGATGTGGACCAGGAGGAGCCGCGGTTTGGGGCCGTGGCCACCGTCAACCTGGCCACGGGTGAGGGGCTGCCCCCGCTGGGCGCAGCCGATGGGGCGCTGGGCCCCTCCAGCCGTGAGTCCACACTGCGGCGCAAGGCCAGCAGCCTGGCGCTGGGCGACCGGGAGGCCACAGGCGAGTCAGAAGCTGAGAGCTACTTCCGCAAGATGCAGGCAGCCCGCAGGTTTAAGGACTGAGCTGGGGCTGGGCAGGGGCGTGGGGGGCCGGGGAGTCGGGAGCCAGGGCCAGGCAGGGCATTTCGTGGTATGGCAATAAAAGGTTGATACTGGAGCCCTGGCTGCAATCATTCCGGCCTGAGGACCCCACAGCCACACAGTGGGAGGCTGGCACCCAGGAGCAAGGGGAGGGCAGTCCGCTGCACCTAGTTACCCAGTAAGGTTCCAACTGGGGTAGAACGTTGTCATCTAGCCCCAGGTCAGGGAAAGCCACCTTCCTGGGATGGGTGGAACCCCGCCAGGGGGCCGACTAGATTCGTGTGCCCCAACCTCAGTCAGTGGACATGGAATTCCCCTGAGACCCTCAAGTCGTCAGAGGTGCAGGGGGGAGGTTGGGTTGAGAGGCAGGACCGTGTGGATTCCCAGGGGAAGACAGCGGTGAAGACGAGCACACCCAGCACAGGGAAATGGAGCGCAGGATACAGAGTTTATTCGAGTCAGCACAGACCGGCCAGACTTGCCTTCCACACTGTGGACAGAAGCAGCTCCGGCGGAGGCAAGGTTGTCATGAAACCGCTTTTAATTCCATCCCCTCCGCGTGACAAGCCGGCGGGCAGGCAGTGAGACATGCCGCACTCACTACAATACTGAGCCTGTAATTGCTGGTATCAAAATATACATCTGTGTCACCATAAAAAACCACACGTGCTGCCCTCGTCTCACAACAGGTATAAAAAATTATAAATATTTACACCCTTGTCCCACCCCAACATGGAAACCCAGGGGTCCAGGCCCCGAGGGAGGGGCCGGCCAGCACAGGGTCTACGTGCAGCGAGCCCCCGGGACCCGGAGTGCAGGACGCCGCGACGGAAGAGCTGGCTGTCGTCCCACCTCCCGGGGTGCCAGCGTTAGAGGTGGACAGAAAACAAACAAAACTTTGGTCCAAAATTTGCAGGAAAAAAGGAACCCTGAAAGTTTAAGAGCGCTTGCCCTCCAGACAGAGGGCAGGTTGGGTGTATAAGGCATCTGGGGTCTCAGACGGAGGCCTGGGGCCTTCTAGAAGGACCGGGGCTCCCCAGCTGCCCCCACGGCATCTGCCCTGGAAACTAGATCCTGCCCTGCGACTTAATTACAAGGAATAAAATAAAAAGTACAGTATACAAGGTCATACAGAGAGAAAATTTAGATTACACTCATACCATTTTTACCATCTCGCTATATAAAAAGTTACTTAAAACTATTTCTCTTGCATATAAATGAAAAGATTAGGATATTTGGTCAACTGGAAGTATTGCTAGGCACAGATGTCTGCGGCTGCATCAAAGCACGAGATTACGGTGAACACAAAGCTCCAAGCTGAAGGCGGCCGGGGACATGCCCTCGGGCCGGGGGAGAGGGAAAATCACACACTTGATTAAACGGGAGGACTGGGGTGTCCTGGGTGTCGGCTGCCTCCGGGCCCTGCTGCCGGGAGCCTCCTGCCATGCCAGGCACATGATCTGTGCAGGAGGCTGTCCCCGGGGCCCCAAACCCCTACCCGTCTGCTACCGCGAGGCCCTGCCAGAGCAGCGGGTTTTAAGGCACGAGAAAGCCGAGTAGAGGTTTGGGAGCGCCCAGCCCGGGCTGCGGGAGGCACAGGCGAGGGGCCGGGGAGGGCCTGAGGCCGGCACCCCGTCTCTCCAAGGTGAGCACGGTGAGTTAGATTTAATTTTTTTAAAAACAGGTAAACTGATTTCTCTTTAAAAAAATAAAATCTCTGGTCTTTTAAGGTCACTTCAGCTGCTTTTAAAGTGGCTTTTTTTCTGGAATGATGGAAGTTGTTGCCGGGGGCCCAGCAGGCTGGTCCTGGCGGCAGGGCCTAGATGGTGGACTTGGAGAAGGACACCCGCAGGTGGTGGTTCTCGCCCAGGTCGTGGTTGTGAAGGTCGATGAGCGCCTGGATGGCCTCCTCCACCGAGCCCATCTGGATCAGGGCCATCTTCCGGTCCTTCCTGTGGGACAGGGGCAAGGGCCTGGTGAGGCAGGGGAGAGGGAGAGGGAACGGGCGGCGGTGGGGAGGGGAGGGGGCTCCATGCTCACTGGAAGAACTTGAACCCTTTGACGATGCCGCCATTGCTGGAGAAGAGGATCTTGAGGTCATCCTCAGAGATGGAGGGCCTGTGGGGAGACAGCCGGCCTCAGAGGCGGGGACTACACGCGCTTTCTGGGACCCACAAACAGGACTGTATCGTAACTGTTTCAGAATCACAAGCGACGCCCCGCTCGGCTTGTGAAACGGTGCCCGAGGCCCCCTGCACCCACCCCCTTGCGCTCCGGGAGTGTCCCGGGCGCGGAGGCAGCCTCCCCGGGCGTCACCTACGGGATGTTGGACAGGTGCAGGGTGGCGGAGGGCGGGAAGATGTTCTGGAAGTTCTTGGAGCCCGGCTTCTTGAAGCGGTGCAGCGGCGAATTGCCGTAGTCCTTGGTCAGGCCCTGGTCCTCCTGGCCCTCGCGGGGCAGCTGCACGTTCTGGTGCTTGGATAGGGTGATGCGCACCGGCTTCCCGTGCAGCTTGTGCCCGTTGAGGTGGCTCATGGCTGCGAAGGCGAGAGGGACCCTGGTGACCCGAGGCCCGAGGGTGCCGGCCGCCGCACCCCCCACCCCGGCCCGGCCCGGCCCCTTACCCAGCTGGGCCTGGCTCCCGTCCGCCATCTGCACCAGGGCGTTCTCCTTCTTATTGAACAGGATCTTCACCCGCTGCACGTCGCCGTACACGCCTTCAAAAGCCGGGGACAGGCGCTGAGCCCGGGGCCTGAACCCGCCGCCCCCGCCAGCCCCCACGACCCACACACCCTCTCGGGGCTGGCTCTGCCCGAAGGTTTGCTATTCTGCCTCTGGAACCTGCGTCTAGTCACAGGGACGTTACCAGGAGGACTACCTTCAGCGAGAAGTCCTACAATCCAGGGAAGGTCAATTGCCAAAGAGCCATCACTTTCCATGCTACCAACACGCTTAACTCTGCGAGGGCATGCAGGGCGGTAACCATGCGTGTCTACCGACTCCGACTACTACGCACACCGGAGGCAAACGAGTAACGAGGCAGAACCGCAAACTCAGTACATCTCAGGGCTTAAAAATAACCTCCATTAAATGAAAACAAGGTAATAAAAGTGTGAATGATAACATACCGAAAAGAATAAAGAGGCTTTGGGGTGTGACTCTCTTTAGAGGACAGCAGAGCAAGGCAGCGGAGGGACAGGGAAAGGGAGAGGCCAGGGGGCGAGTTGCCATCGTCCACCACGAGGAGGCAGCCCCGCAGGCGTGCAGGTTGATGGATGATGAAGTTGTCAGGATGTTAATATTCAAGGGCAGGTTGGTTTCCGGAGAGCAGGGTTTGAGGGGGAAGTTTGTTTTTATTTATTTATGGTTTTGTTTTGTTTCAAGCAACAACAGGAAGCAGAAGTACCGTGCAGTCAGTTGGCAAAGAAATTCCGGATCAGAAAAAAAATTGGGAAAGGGGAAGGGGAGAAAAGAAAAAAAGTAGCAAAAAACACAGGTCAGTAAATACATAAGAAACCGGCAGTGTTCCATCAGTCAGGTCTACACACATTACTGTCACAGGCCCCCTCGCGGTCAGCAGGAGACGCCGCGGCCTGCAGCGGGCGCCCCCGGCACCGTCTCCTGCTGCCGGCGCGGGGCCTACACGCTCACACAAGCACGAGGGGCGGAGTCTGTTAGTGAGGCTTCGAGAGCATCGAACTCAGACAAGGAGCTGGCCGCCCCAGGCCAAGAAGTCGCAGGAGTGCTCACACAGGTGCGGAGACGGCCTGACACGCTCCCTGACGGCGCCCAACCTTCCCGGACTGACCTAGGCTGAACCCTGATGGTCTCGCCCGAGCTCCCCGGCCACCCGGCCCAGAGGCACACGCAGATCGGTGGTCCCCGCGGAGGCAGAGGCACCCCGAGACCTCCTCGGACAGAGACCCATCTGCCTCGGGGTTTGGGGACTGCTTTCACTAATCGGAGCACGTGCCAACCCTGACCCTGCAAACCGGAGACGAGGGCACAGGACGCCCAGTATGTGTGTGGGGGAGAGGGCACCCCGAGAACGGGCCTGTAGTCGGCCCTAGGGACCCCAGCACCCAGGGGGACAGCAGCGTGGCCTGCTGGCCCCTGCATGAAGACCTAAGGGCACGAGTCCCTGCTCACGCCTCGGGGGGAACCGCCTGGCAAAGCCACGTACCTCAGGGTTCAGGTTGCTGACCAGCAGGACAGAGTTCCCAGCCCCGCCCAGGCCTGGGATGGCGATGCGGCCTGCTGCCGCTGCCGCCGCCGCCGCCGACGGGATGGCCAGGGGAGCCAGGGCCCCGTGCACGTTGGGGACGGACAGGCCTGCGGAGGGAGAGGCGGTTACCGGTGAGCAGCAGTGCCCGAGGTCCGGCGAAGGGGTGCGCGGTCCTGCCCATCCTCATGCAAAGGACACGCCGGCGGTGTCCCCCCGGCCGCAGCTGGCCGGCGCCTCCGTCCTCCGCACAGGCCACGCCGGTTTGGGCCGTCTGCATGCGCCCAACAGCACAAAAGCTCCGGCTCCACAGATGCAGAATCCAGCCCGGCAGCCGCGGCCGTGCGTGCATGCAGGTGCCCGTCACCATGCAGACGACACGCCGGGCAGGACGCAGCAGGCTGTCACGCGGTGGGCACCCGGCCCTCCACAGGGACGCTCGGGTGTGCCCGCCCGGCTCATGCCGCTCTGCTTACCAGGCCACTTAAATCCACCTACTAAGGACACAGCCCTCCAACCACTGTGCGAACACGGCCTCGCCCGGGGGGTGCTTGAAGGAACCAGAGACTGCGGGGTCAGCGAATGCTCTGCGCGGCCCTGTCCTACGGCTGCCCTGTGCAGGCTCCTGGGGAACCCAGAGGCCCGCGCCCAGGAAGGCGGGCCCCCCCCGTGCCTGCGCCCATCAGCTCGCGTGGAGGCAGGGCTCCCGGAGAGGTGTGCGGGCACGCTCGGCCGCTGGGGGCCCGGGAGTGTGTATACCTGCAGCCTGAGGGATGGCAAAGGTGGGAGGGAAACCAGCTCCTGCATACGGGGAGGCTGACATTATGCCCGGTGCACCTGGAAACAAACGAGACACTAATCGTCGCCCACAACCTCCGCCCGAGCGGACGAGCCGAGCGGGCGCACCCCACGCTGCGGGCTGGGCCGCGCCACCCATGCCGGGCGCGGGGTGGGCGTCACGGGACTCCTGGGGCCTGGGCACTCAGCCTGAGCTACGCGTCCTCACCTCCCGCGACAAAGCGGTCCCAGATGGCTAGCCAGGTGTCTTACCGAAGGCCGCGGCCATGGTCTGGTCCAGGGAGGGCTGGCTGTCACCGGAGGGCAGGTCAGGGCGCGTGTAATCCCGGCTCTTGTCGTTGTTGTACTTGACGTTGAGGCTGGTGAGCTTGGAGAAGTCGATGCGGAGTGTGCAGCAGGCGTTGTAGATGTTCTGCCCGTCCAGCGACTGTGGGGAAAGGCCGTGAGTGGCTGGGGCGCTGGAGTGCCGGGGCGCCAGGGCGGGCGGTGTCCGGGGAGCCACTCACCAGCTTGGCGTGCTGGGCGCTCACGGGCTCGGCGTACTGCAGCAGCGCCTGGAACTGGTTGTTCTTGGTGAACGTGATGATCTTCAGGACTGTGCCGAACTTGGAGAAGATCTGCCGAGAAGAGTAGTCAGTCTTTGCCCAGCAACTCCGCCGGCTGCAGCCCGGCCCGGGGCCCCCCTCACCTGGTGGAGCACGTCCAGGGTGACGGGGTAGAAAAGGTTCTCCACGATGATCCTGAGCACAGGGCTCTGGCCGGCCATTGCCATCCCAGCATCCACCGCAGCGGCTGAGGCGGCCAGCGCCAGGTTCCCTGACTGCACCGAATTCACCGCCTGCAGGGCCGCCTGGGCGCGCTGTGGGGGCATGGCCATGAGCCCCAGGCCCCCAGGCCCCCAGGCCCCGACCCGCCCAGGCCCAGGAAGGGACAACGCACCGCCTGGTTGGGGGAGCTGTCGGTCTTGAGCTCCTTGTGGTTGGAGAACTGGACGTAGATGGGCTGGCCGCGCAGCACAGGCGTCACCGAGGTGTAGTAGTTGACCATGGTGTTGGCCGCCTCCTCCGTGTTCATCTCGATGAAGGCCTGGACGCAGAGCGGGCGTGAGCCGGAGAGCCCTGGAGGAGCCCGCCCCGGCACAGCCCCGCCACGGCCCCCCCACGGACGGGCTCGCACACCTGGCTCTTCCCTTTCAGCATCAGGAGGTTGGTGACCTTCCCAAAGGGCAGCCCCAGGGAGATGACCTCGCCCTCAGTGATGTCGCTGGGCAGCTTGCGAATGTGGATCACTCTGGAGGGCACACCCGCACTCCTGCTGTCCCCCTTGAACTTCTTGCTGTCATTCCCGTTTGCTGAGAAGAGGACAAGCTGGTACGGCACAGAGCACCCCCAGGCTCCCACACAAGGCGCCCACCCCTGAACTGTTTCTACCGGACAGCAGAGAGCAGAGTGGTTCCCACGTCTAGTGCCCCCCCAGCTCCCAGAGGAATGAGGGCACGTGTGACCCGAGACTAGGTCACATCCAGGACAGAGCAGGTCAGCAGAGCACGGGGACGCACGGAGGGAGCCCGCGGGCAGGTACCTGCAGAGGCCGAGTTGCCGCTCATGATAAAGGGTCCGTTAGTGACGCACGCAGAGAAGAGCTCGTCCGATCCCCGCTAGAAGAGAAGCCGGGCTGGGCGGGCTGGAGACCCCCCCCAGCCCCGCCCCACGACCCCTCCCCCTAGCCTGTTCCTCCCAAGTCCCAGACACAGCTCCTTCCCCTGCAAGATTCCTGGGGCCTTTCCCAAGGCAAAGACTGTCACCTACAGGGCGCTTGCACATCACTCCCATCTCCCAGTCCCACGGGACACCCTTGCCTTCTGTGGACAGGCCTCAGGTGAGGTGTCCCAATGGCACGCCCACGGCTCATGCCACCAGCCACGCAGGGCACTGCCCACCGACTCGATCGAGACTGTCAGACCGTGCTCAGAACAAAGTCCCCTTGTCACTGCAGCCACTCACTCGGCCTGTTTTCCAGCTGCATGAGGACACCTGAGCCGTGGTATAGTCACTCACGGACTGGAAACGCTGCCTCCTGTGACGGGTGGGCCACCTGGTGACCGCGCGAATGGGCTGGGCCGAGGGCAGCTGCAGAGCCGCTCGTCTGTGGGAGGCTCGGGACTCCCAAGTCCCGATCTAACGCTCCAGCGCCCCCCGCTGCCACACGGGTGAGACCTGAGAGCCACTCGACTCTCCCCCAGGGTGAACTGGACGAGGATGCCGTCCCCAGTTGCGGAGACTTGGGGTTCTGTCCCCCATCGAGGCCGCCTGCTGGCCCCAGGACCTGCTGCGGGACCGAGCTGTGTAGGGTCTGCCATCCCCAGGGATCCCTCAGCCCCCCTGATCCTGTGGCAGGAACAGGAATGACCACCTCCGTGAGCTTCCAGCTAGCAGAGGAAGGCCCCCTCCACCGTCTGCCCCTTCTCAAGGACGCCTTCCCTTTGCTGTCCCTCCAAACTACCACCTCAGCTACCACTCAAGCACCGCCATCCCCACCCAGGGCCACCCCGTGGAGCCCGTCTGCCCCTGAGAACCCCACCCTCCCTGGACCGCTGTTGGGGCCTACTGAAGGCCACTTAAAAGGTTTACCAACTGCCCTTGGGGACAAAGACCAGGACTGGCCCTGCCACCACTGGCTCACGGCTGTGGGCACGTCCCTGCATCTGGATCCCACCCTGGGCTCCTCAGGGCCCAAGGCTGGGAGGGCTGCAGACTGCCCTCACTCTGGGCCACAGATGCGTGGTCAGGCTGCTGCCGAGGCTGGGGCACGACAGGAACATCCTCCACCTGTCACGCCACTAAGCGGACGCCACACACAAGTGTCAGCAGTCGAGACAAAGACACCACGCAGAGTGCCCCAACCCAAGGACCTCCACCGACACCGAGCACAGGTGCATGCATCACCTGTGGGACCCGGCACAGTGCCTTCTCGTCTATGGGGTTAAGATCCCTGCCCTCCCCCGGGGGTGGACAAGGGCCAGGCGCCCACGCGGCTCACGTGCAGGCTGCACGCCTTCGGAAGGGCATCCTGCCTGCTGCCGCATCAGCGACAGGGAAGAGCGAGCCTTTAGCCCAGCATTTTTTTGCCCGGGGCAGATGGCCTGGTACTCCTACAGCTGGGGGGCGAACTCTGCCCACTGGGCCGTCCACTCTCTCCACCCTCGCCCAAAGCACAGGGACACCCAGATGCAGATTGTGACCGGCAGCTCAGAGGGAACTGTCCCTAAGACAGATACTCCGAGGGCAGAACCCTGGAAGAACGTGGGCCAGGCCAGGTGCCGAGGATTCCCGCAGGCCTTGTGACTCAGACACAGCTGGGCCGTCTGTCGAAGGCAATCCAACTGCCCCTGGCCAGGCCTTCCAAAAGGGAGTGCTTTGACCAGACAGCACCGTGGGCACCACCCCCGAGTCAGTGAAGCAGGGACCCCATTTCTAGTCACTAGCTGAGCACCGTCAACCTCCTGACGCCTCCCGAGGGCATGGCTTGTTCTGTACAGCGCCCAGAAGCCCACTGGGCCGCCTTCCAGCGGGGCCACAGGTCCCTGCCCTGAGCGGGCCTGAGTTTGGAGGCAGAGGACCCCAGGGCTGGGCCGGAAGGGCCACTCCCACTGGCTCCCACAGAAGCCAGACGCTCTCTGTGACAGTTACAAATGCTGCAGATGAAAAGTCCCTCTCCCCCCTCCTGCCAGCGAACAAACAGGTTTTATCTGCGGGAAGATCGGGACAGGCGGCGTGTGAAGACAGGACAGGACTGCCTGGGAAAACCGAAACCCAGCCCAGAGCTGCAGCCCGAGCCCCTGGCACCCCCAGTCCCGGGACACCAGGTCCCTGGGGCACACGCAGGCCTGGTGCTCAGCGGGGGAGGAGGGCCATGCCGACCCTGCCCTGCTTACTGCACAGACGTCCAAGCGCTGAGGGTGGCAGAGCCGCCCCGCCCCCCGGTCTTGCAGGTTTCTCAGACCAGCGTGGTGACCCGAACCACGCTGCCATTGAGAGCGGCCCCGCTGTCCCCCCAACCTCCCCCCAAGCTGGGATCTGACTTCGCCTCTTTCCGCATCAGACCAAGGCACCGAGAACGCTCCAGGTAGACGTCCTCGTCAACCCCATCGCACACTCCAGGACTCTGCTAGGGCGGGGGGGTCCCCCAAACCCAAGCCAACGTGCATTTACTGCTGAGGGGTCACCCAACCCCCACGGCCGAAAACGCATAGCCGGGCCGGCCAGCCCTCCACCCTTCGCACACGGCGGCCCCCACCGAAGGCCGGGCGGCTACCAGGACGCCGAGTCCGCAGCGCCTACCTTGGTACCAACTGCTATGTCTGGGACAATGCTGTAGAGAGAGAGAGAAGGACAACGTTAGCAGCGGGGCCGCAGCTGCTGCCGCCGGGTGCCCGGGTCGGCCCGCCGGCCAGGGGCTCCCCTGGCTGCACGCGTCCCCCCCCCACCGGAGGCCCTCCCCCAGACTGGCGAGCTGAGGCAGGGAAGTGAGCCGCCGTCCATTTATTCTCAACTTGAAAAGGAGCCACCATTGTCCTCTGGCTCCCCTCCCTCCCAGCAGGACCCCAGGCCCCGCCTCCGGTCCTCTCCACCAGAGGTCCAGAGAGGTCCAAAGACAAAGACATCCCCTCCGAAAGCCCCAGGAGGGACACTTGATGCTCGTTGTTAAGGTTCAAGTGCTGTTATTTGTTTTCTCAAAACTGGAAATGCTTGGGGACCATTTTTAGGCAGGGAAGGCCGGCCGGTGGGTGAGGCGACAACTCAGAGGGCCCTGAGCTCAGAGCGCTCCAGGGCCGGAGCCAGGCCGGACGAGGAAACTCTAAGCTGCCCTGGAGCAAGGGGGTAGCAGGGTTGAAAGACTCAGATAAAATTACCACAGGTTACTCATCAACCTGGCCCGGGGTGATGGACTTTCTCCCTGCCCCAGGCCCAACTGGGGGAAATGGGAAGAGGCCGCTGTGGCTCCCGCAGGCCCGCCCACAGGCCCTGGCTACGGACTAGCGCTCAGCACACGTCAAACCTTCTGGGGCTTCTCCGTGGCAAAGATAAGACTGTAACTGAGGTAGGGGACTTAGTAAGCAACGGACCCCTACCAGGTCACCTGGCCACCAAGGCCTAGAGGGATCTGTGACCAGAGTCTCCCACGATGTCACACAAAGCCAGAGAAAGGCCGCTCTCAGACTGGGAAGGCGGCCCGGGCAGCCACCTGCACTGCACTCCTGCCCCTCAGTCTTCACTTCTGCCCCAAGGAGGCAAGCTCAGGGCACCAACCCACTCCCCGCCGAGGCAGTACACCCCCCAAGCGCTGCGCCCCAGGCCTGCCATCTGCACCCTTCGCCTGCTCTGGCTCATTCTAAGCCCCTGCCTCCACGGCAGAACCTTCACCTCTTTGCTATGGGAAAAACATGGGCTAGTGTCAGCAGGTTTTAAAAACCTTCCAGAGCCAAGAAAACGCTCCCCAGAAAACCTGAAAGAATGAAAAGCACGCAGCTTCTCGTTGCTAACCCAGGGCAACTCGCCGCTTCCCACCCCTGTGAGAGCCTCGGATGCAGCAAGTTGTACATGAAACGAACAGCCCTTCCTGGAAGTGTCCGAGCCTCCCAGAGAGAAGGCAGGTCACAAACTGCACCCGTGACAACGAGGCCCGGCTGCCTAGGTAACCACCACCTTCTACAAGAGGCTAGAGAGACACGGCCCTCCAAGCCACATATGGGGGACCAGACAGTCCTTTGAGGTGGCAAACAGAGCTTGACCAGACAAGGGAGGAAACGCTTTCCATCAAGATCTCCCTGCGAGGCCGAGCACCCGCCGGTCCGCACCACGGCCCCGCCGTGGGGAGGGTCTTCTCTGGGGAGGTCCATCCAAGCCAAAACGGATGGCGGACCACAAGATCATGTTCCTCATGCTGCAGCAATTTTTCTAAAAGGCTGGATCTAATTCAGCCCGAAACCTATCATTTCAAACCCGAGGCACTGAGGCACGTGACCCTCCCGGCATGTTAACCACACCCCCCTGGAGGTCAGGCCAAGGGAGGAAGGAGGGCTTTCCAAGCTCCAGATGAGAAAAGATAACCAGAACTGGCCTTGGAATCTTCAAACGGACTTTCTCAAAATCAGCGCTTAACCCTCCCCCAACGGAAAAGGAAAAAAATGAGCCTGACACACGAAACGAAAAAGCACCGTCTAAACTCAGTTTCATTTTTAACAGATTCTATCACTTTTTCCCCAGATTAAAACTGAGTCTCCAAACCGGGCAGACTCACGTCTCTGCCAACAAAACACAGCTTTGTGGCTTGGCCCCAGGTCGTAGCGTTAAAGTGAAGGGAGTCTTTGTAACTTCAGATCTGCTGAAGGCTACGATACCTTCAACCGCAAAGGGCAGATACAGCTCTGGCAACTGCCCCAACGCTCATTTCTTGCATTCCCGGAACAAACGCCAGCCCCGGAGCCGTGCGCCGGGGCGCACGGGCCCCCATCCCTCCTTCTCCAGGGTGGCCGGCGGGCCACACCGCCCGAGGGCTCGGGGTCTGGTCGTTCTGGCCCACATGAGTCACGCCCGCATCTGGGGCCTGGGAGCTCCATGCCCCGGGGGTCCAGCTCATGCTTAAGGAACCGCCGGACAGGAGCCCCCACGAAAGCGGCAACAAAGGGGGCGCACGGCCCCCTCCCCGAACCGTCCTCTCCGTCCCTGGATTTGGACGGGACGCGCGGCCGTGCTTTGTGGGCAGCCTGGGGAGGGGCCGGCAACGGTGGCGAAGAGCCCGCGCCCTTCCGGGCGGGAGGGCGGCGTCTCCTGGCCGCGCCCGGGACCGCCGCGGGCGGGGGAGGCTGAGCCCAGAGTCCAGGCGGCGGGAAAGGCCGCGCACGCGCACCGGGGCCTGAGCTGCGCGGTGAACTACGCACGCGCGCGTGGGGACGAAACGGGGAGCGGGAAGGGCCACGCTGGGCGCGCGAAGGAGATACGGGGAGCCGGGAGGGCCACACGGATGCACGAGAGGCAGCGAGGGGACCGGACGGGAAGCGGGAAGGGCCGCGCGGCCGCCGCGTGCGTCCGGAACGGGCCGCGGGGAGACCGGAAATGGGCAGGGATAGGCCCCGGCGCCCCCCGGATTGGGACGCACGGGCCGCCTCGCGCCCCCGGCAACTTCTCCGCGCTCCCTTGACGGGGGGAGGGCAGAGACCCCGGAGGCGCCCGTGGGCCCGGAACAGAGGGGCGCGCGGGCCGGCGCCCCTAGGAGGCCCAGGCGGCGGCGAGAGGACGGCTCGAGCGCGAGAAGGGCAACGGGAAGTGCGGACACGCACGACTCACCCGTCCATTGCACACAGAGGAGACCCGCGGGGGACGGAGTGGAGGCGCCGGAATAGCAGGAACCGACCCAACGGCTCCGAGTTATAGACTCACAAAATGGCGGAGACGCCCGAACACGTCCCCCGCGCGCTCTGCCCATTGGCTCTCGCTGCAGAGAGGGGGCGGAGCGAGCGCCGCGGACCCCTCCAGCGCCTTCCAATGGCTAGGAGCCCTCTCGGGAGGTGGAGCCAAGGGGAATGGCAGACGACCATTGGAGAACGCGGCCGTCCGTCAGGGTTCAAGGCGGAAAAGGCCCGTCGAGTCGGGGGAGGGGAGAAAAGGTGGTAGCACGTGCCAACTCCTGAGCCAGTAAGCGAGCTGCTTTCCTGCGTGGGGCTTTGCGGGAGAAGCCATCTTGAGAGTGGGTACGTGGCGAGTCAGGCGGCGGGAAGCGTGCTTCCCCCTAGGCTGCCGCCATCTTGCTAACGGGCAGGGCTCGTCCACCTCCGGCGTGAGAGCCAAGGTAGGAGCGTCGCCATCTTGGAGTCGGGCAGGACACCTACGAGGCTCCATGTTGCTTGTGGGCACGTAGCAAAAAAGTCTGATTCAAACTGGGAAGTTCCTCCTGGGTTAGCACGCGTGGAGGTGGAGGCCGCCTAGCCCGTCCCAGACGCGCCAGAGCTCACTTTCCACTGCTGGCCCCCGAGCCTGCGGGCGCGATGTGGTTAGGGATCGCCCCGACTGTGATCTGTTCGTCTCAGAGCAGCGAAGGCCGATCGCGGTCCACTCACTCCCCGGCTCCAGGGATGGGGAAACTGAGGCCTGGGGCGCGCAGAGCAGAATCCCGCCGTCGTGGGACGTTCAGGGAGGACCATCGTGGCAGCAGGGAAAATACCCTAAACGTATTCCCAAGAGTGCTGATTCCGGGAAGAACTGGACAGGGTTGTGGGTGACAGGGATGCCCCTCGGAGAGGTGCCGGGAAACCAGGGCCCGCGGGTGGGGCAGGGGGACCAGACGCGGTCAGGGGCGAGAGCCAGGGAGGCCTCGGCGCCGGGTCCCCCAGTGCACTTGGCAGCACCAGGAGCCGACGTGCGTCCCGGCTTGGCAAGGAGCCTGCTGCGGAGCATAAGTTCAATAAACAGAGGAAACTTGTGATAATTGGCTGTACGTCCGCGCTGAAACGGGAGTTTTCATGGCACCAGCCTAGCGAGGGAGAAGCGGTGGTTTCCCGATTTCGAGGTGAGGCCAAGGCGCCCTGCCTCTCCGGTCGGTTTCCTTTCTCCAGCCGAGTCCTGGCAGCGGCCACACTCAGGGCCGCGGGCCTGGAACGCGGCCCAGCAGCCCTGGAGCCGGAGGGTGCCGAGGATTAGGGGCGGCTGCCGATTTCCACGGAGCTTCCCGCCTTGCAGTCCCTGGCCCTGTCTCCCGCCGCAGGACGTCCTGTGCCCCGAATCGCTCTCTGGGAAGCGCCCGGGTGGATTCGAGGATTCGCTCCCCTGGGATTCCCATGAGCTCTGCTGCGGGTACCACCTGGATCAACTAGCTGTTCGTCTTCTCGTGACCAGTGCCAGGGCCGCCCCAACCCGTGTGGGCAGGAGAGAGTCCCAGCCCCAGGCAGAAGAGCCGCTGCTGACTTCGGAGGGGATGGAGGCGTAAAGCGGCGGCCTTCCCAAGGCCCCTGGCGCGGAGTCCAGGCCCTGGTGGGTCCCACACCACCGCCACCTGCCCGGCCTCTTACGCCAGAGTGCAGGCGTCCTTTGCGCCCCTGTTCCATCCTTGAAGCTTCTCCCCCAAACCTGCACAGCTCACTCCTTTACTCTCTCACGTTCTGGAGGCCAGAAGTCCAAGGTCAAGGTGTCCCAGGGCCAAGCTCCCTCCTGAGGCTCCAGAGAGGGTCTTTTCTGCCTCTCCCGGCCTCTGGGGGCGACCAGTCCTGGGGCTTGTGGACACATAAGTCTCTGCCTCTCCCGATGCCCAGCTGTTTTCTCCCTTATTCTCTGTCCCTTTGCTGTGTCTCAAAAAAGGACACTTGTCATTGGGGTTAGGGCCCACTAGGATAACCCAGGATGACCTCACCTCCGGACCCTTAATCACGCCTGCAAAGACCCTTCTCCCGAATAGTGCCATGCTCACGGGTCAGGGGCGAGGATGTGGACATCATGTTTTTGGGGCCCTGAGTCAACCCACAACGCCATCTGGAACTTGGACCAGTGACAAGGCTGTGGGGGGGCGGGGCTCGGGGGGGGGCCTCCCAGCTACCAAGGCTTAGGGCCCTGCTCTGATAGTTAGATCCATGCCCCTGATTTATTTAGGGGCAGGCCGGCCTCCTCTCTTTGTTTTCCTTTTCCCTTTCCAGACTTTTCTCCCACCCCGGCCTTACCGGCCAGCTGCTTCCCTCATGAATGATTCAGGGTGAGCGTGGCCGCGTGCTCACCTCGCAATTGTTGGAGGATTTTGAAAATGATACTCTCCTGGCAGGAAGAGGGAGGTGGGTGAGAGCCAGGTAGGTGTGGGGGTCGGTGCCTCGGTTTACACCTTTATCAGAATGGAGGGCCAGGCCAGTCCCTCCTCGCCTCCTGCGGGCTTTCCCTCCAATTTCAAATGGGAGTGGCTTAATGGTTTGGGGATCTTTAGTCAAGTGTTTGTTTACTTCTTGCCTTGATTACAAAAGCCCCTGGGAGGGGTCCAGGGCGTGGGTGAGGGGCCTGACACTCCGGGTCTCCCCGCCCCTCCCAAGCCTCCCAGACTCACCCATTTTCCACATTCCTGGAGGACTGAGCTGGGGTGGGGGTGGGGGGTTTGAGATCAAAGAGGCTCCCAACAAACTCTCTGAGCTGGGCCCCTCCCCCACCCCTCCCGGGTGGCCTGGAGCCACTCCTGGACCTTCTGGAACTTCGTGTGGCCTGAGAACATTCAGCATAAGGCCACAGCCTGCCCGGTGCATTGAAGAGCTGCCGCCCCAGCCCCGGCGCCCTCCAGTTACGGTGGGGGGCCCAGGCTCCCTCCTCCACCACCCCTGCCAGGCTCTGCCCAGTCCCCAGCCCGTAGAGGGATCCCTGTCTGCAAGGTGGGGAGGGGGCCCCCAAGGTCCCTCCCCTGAGTTGTCATGGTCACTTCTCAGGGTCTCCGCATCTTGGACCCCACAAAAGGGGCTCAGCCTCTCCCCTCCCCCAGCCCCAGGCCCTCAGGCCAACTGCAAACTCCCAGTCCATCTCTGCCCAAACCAGTTGCAGGCCCCTCCCCCAGGAACCCACCCTGTCCCTGGGCCCTGCCCCTGGGCTGCAGCGGCCTCCCCACCCCGGCCTCCCCACCCCCAGCCTGATCGGCTCCCTCTGGTTTTAACTCGTTGCTCTCAGCTAGGTAATGCGATTATTTCCTCTTCCCCAGCCCAGAGAAGCTGAGCGCGCCCCAGCCTGTGAGGGCCCCTGCTGGGCTTGGTCAGGCCACTCTGCTTCCAGGGCAGGCAGTCTGGCGGGTCCAGCAAAGGGTACACTTAGAGCGACCACCTGACCCAACAAGGCCACTCCTGGGCACGTGCTTGGGAGAAATGAACCCCCCCACACACACAAGCACCTGTAGACGTGACCCGAGGGCCCAGCGACACATGAACAGAGTGGTGGCCCATCCGTGTGGAATATTACTTGGCCCTGAAAAGGAACAAAGCATTGACACGTGCCACAAGGCCATCGGGGCCCCTGCTGTCCCCACGGCACCTCACTGATGATTCTCCCCTGGGAAGTCCCTCCCCACACAGTGTCCTCTCGGGAGGAGGTCCCCACACAGAAGTGTACAGCAGGCGTCCTATCAAGTAGCTGGTGGCAGAGACGCAGGTCATTGGCTCCAAGGGCCCAAGGTCAGGTGGGCCTCCTGCCACACGGGACTGTGCAGAAGCCTGCGCCTCAGAACAGATGGAATGAATACAAGCTCCAAACCAAAGGTGGTCCAGGCTCCACCTGCAGGAAGCAGCCCCAGGGAGAGGGGAGGGGCCGGGAGGGGCCCGGAGGGGCTGGGCCAGGTCAGGGCGGCCTTGCTGGAGGCCACATTTCATTGGAGCAGGGAGCTCTGGCCACTGGAGAACCGGGAACCACAAAGGCCCTGTCATGGATTGAATCCTGGTCTCCAAAAGACGGGTCCCCATCCTGACCCCTGACGCCCATGAATGCCACGTGGCTGGGAAACGGGGTCTTTGTGGCTGTCATTAGCTGAGCCGGATCACGCTGGAGCAGGGGCCCGATGCAGTGACTGGTGTCCTTGTAAGGAGAGGGAAATTGAGACACAGACACACAGGGAGAGGTTACGTGGACGGAGGCAGAGACCAGGGCGATGAGGCCACCAGCCTGGGGCGCCGAGGTTGCCCCAGGAGCCAGCCCGCCAACACCTTGGTCTCGGACGTCCGGCCCCTGGGCCTGGGACGAAATAAACGTGTGTCGTTTTACGTCACCCAGTTTGTGGCTCTTGGTCACGGAGGCCAAGGCCAGGCGGGCAGACAGCGGCTGTCCTGGCCAGGCTGGCCGCGTCGCATGGTGACGGGAGAGCCGGCTTGCTTCCCGGCCTTGCAAAATTTATGAGAAGGAAGAGGTCTCAGTACACGGGGGGAATGTGAGCCGGCTGTAAGCGATCCCGCGGCCATCTGTTCACCCGGCTGCCGCCTGCCCACAGGGTCACGGGGCCACTGGCTCCGGCCCGGGCAGGAGCCCAGACCCAGGTCCACGCTTACCAAAGGGTGGGGACCCCAGACCCAACATGGTCCCTTCTGCCGAGTCCTTACTACAGTGAAGCAGCCATTCTCACCTAGGAGATTCTTTTGCCCCCAGGAGACCCCGGGTGGCATCTGGGGACATCTGTGGCTGTCACTCTGGGGGTGCTCCTGCCATCGAGTGGATAGGGGCCAGAGATGCTGCTCAACCCCTCCACCACGCCCAGGATGCCCCACAGAGAGTGACCCAGTCCTGATGTCAGCTGAGTCCAACTAAAGTCCTCGGGTCCTCCGCAGTGGACGCCTGGGAAGTCAGGCTTCCGCGTGGGACCCGGGATCCTGGTAAAGAGCCAATTCTGGAAGGATCCAGGAGCAGAGGATGGAATGTGCCCCCAGGCAGGCAGGTGGGACATTTAGGACACAAGGAAGAGG